ATATCACCAAAGTATATCTAGAATAATCATTAACAATTACAAAATAATATCTCTTACCTCCCAAGCTAGTAATTTGAGTAGGACCAAATAAATCAAGATGCAGGAGTTCCAAAGGTTTAGAAGTTGATACACACTTCTTTGGTTTAAAAGAAATTTTTGTTTGCTTCCCAAATTGACATGCATCACAAATTTTGTTCTTTTTAAAACTGATTTTTGGCAAGCCTCTAACCAACTCCTTTTTCGAAATTTTCTTTAGTAAATCCATGTTAAAATGACAAAATCTCCTATGCCACAACCAAAGATCTTCATTTGAAATTAGATGAATCAAGTTTATCAAGAACAACAATATAAATATCGTTAAACCTCTTACTTTTGAACACAACATTATATTTAGAGTCAAGTACAATGCATTCATATTTTTTGAACAACACATACAAGTCTTTATCACATAATCGACTAACACTAAACAAGTTATAACCTAAGTTATCAACTAAGAGCACATTATGAACAAAAGTTTCACCATCCTTACCAACATCACCTATTCCAATTGTCTTAGCTTTCACGTCATCACCAAATATTACCTTTCCACTTGATTTTGATTTTAGCTTTATGAACAACGAAGGTTCACCGGTCATATGCCTTGAACAGCCACTGTCAATGAACCATTTTGACTTGTTTGAGCCTTTTCCCTGAAAAAAGAGAGTGTTTGGTACCCTTTAACTTTTGGGTCCTCAATAGTTAGCATTGTGTCTAACTACCCACATGCATTTCCCTCCTTTGTTCAAATTTCTTTTCACATAACAATCTCCTTTCAAATGCCCTCTTTGACAACAAAAACTACACACAATGGAAGAGTCTTTAGTATGTAATGGTTTGATAAATCTCAATCCACTCCTTTTATATGTTGTGAAACTATGTGCATTTTTGTTGAGTGCTAATGTTCTTTTATGAGCAATAAGAGAGGTGGTTGACATGTTCTTTTTGAGATAATCTTGTTTTTTAGCTTTTAAGGTTTCATCCAAATAGTCCATCCTTTTCTTCAAATCACCATGTCTTTCCTTTAACTTTTCACAAACACTTGTCTTTCTATCAAGTTCATTTTGAACATCACATCCGACTCTTACAAGACACTCATATTCAATCTTTAGTTGTTTATTTTGGTGAAAAAGTCTTGCATTTTCTTGAATGAGAAAAACAATTTTCTGTTTTAACTGCTTGTTTTTATCATAAGATTCCTTCAAGGCATTATGCAATTTTTCAACAAAGGATTCAAGATCATTATCATCTTCATCATCACTATCAGATTGAGAGTGTATGGAAGTTACCTAATTATCTCCAATAGCCATGAAAGCCATTTGAGCTGATTTTTCTTCTTCTTCAACTTCGCCTTCGGAGTTGCATTCATTCCATGTAATCTGGAAGTTGTTGAACCTTGAATTTCGATCAACTTTTCCATCTTTCTTTTTCTTCAGAGAGCATTCATTTGCGTAGTGTCCAGGCTGTCCACACTCGTAGCATTTGTCCAATTGTTTCTTGTTGAATTCTTGTTTTCCCTTGTTCCTTGCGTTTGAAGACTGATTCTGGAATTGATTGCTAGGTCCTCCCCTTCTAAACTTCCTTTTATTCAAGATTTTTTTGAAGCTTTTTGTGATGAGAGCAAGATCGTTGTCATCACCATCCGAGTCTTCATCATCCAACAGAGCTGGATCATCATCACCTTGAGCTGTCTTTAGAGCTATGTTTCTTTTTGCTCTCGCGTCCTCTTCCTCCTGCACTTTAGTTTTCAACTTCAACTCATAGGAGGTTAGTGAGTTAATGAGAGATTCAATAGGCACAAAATTCAAATCCTTAGCCTCCTATATTGTAGTCACTTTACTTTCCCATTCTTTGCCCAATGCATTGAGAATTTTCCTGTTTTTCTCTCCCAAGGTGTATTCTTTGCCCAACACCTCGAGATCTTTGATCAAGTCATTGAACCTGCAATACATTTTGTCAATATCCTCAAGGGGTTCTATTTTAAATGATTCATACTTTATGACCAAGATAGACTTTTTCTGTTCTCTCACGTTGTCACTACCCTCATGAATTTCTCTTAACTTATCCCACATTTCTTTGACAGATTTACATCCTTTTACTCTAATGGATTCATTTGAGTCTAAGGCACTATAAAAAATAATCATGGCTTTGGCATTCAATGTGAGATTGGTTTTATTTTGAGCATTCAACTCAACTCTTGTTTTTGGCCGAAACAAACCTGTATCTGCATCAAGAATGTTAGCATCATACGGTCCTTCATTCACAATAAACCATAGCTCAATATCAATGGATTGCAAAAAGATAATCATTCTTTCTTTCCAACTAATATAATTGGAACCAGTAAACATGGGAGGCCTAGTGACAGATTGCCCCTCAACAAACATGGCATGATTGGTTGTCATCTTTACTTCAAGTCGCTTGAGCTTAATCTCTATGAGACCAAGCTCTGATACCAATTGTAAGGCCCAAAAACAACCTAAGAGGGGGGGTGAATTAGGTTGATTAAAAAATCTTAATTGAATTTATGCACTTTTTCTTTAATAAAAATTTACCTTCTTTTCTAGTAGTGATCAACCAAGTAAATTTAAAGAAAAGAACAATGTTGATCAGAAATAAGAGAGTATATAAGTAATGAGAATTTTATTAAACAAAAAGAATAAGATAGAGTATCAAACCGATTGTCTATCAAGTTTTCCTCAAACTTGAAGACCAATCACAAAAATGAACACCTTCTCTTTGAAGAACAAAATCAACTCAATGTACAATGGAGGGATCACTTCCTCCTTGCCCCAAGCCTCACTTAGTCAAACTAGGAAGTTTTACTATCACTCAGATAACCCTTAACAAAGCTACACTATTGAAAATTTCAAACACAAGAGAAGTGATTACAAGAAATTCACACCACTTGGAGAACAAATCTTGCTTGGGAGACTATTTCCTAACTAAAATATCTCTTGAGATCTTATAAACAAAGTGTGCAAAAGTCTCTCACTGGTTCAGAATCGTTTGTATTTAAAGGAGACCAAAAATGGGGTTCAATAATGCTTCCAACGGACAGTAGGCAGATGAAGAGTCAGCTAGCCGTTGGGGCCGTCGGACGTCCGACAGATGAATCACCGTCTGATCCCATCGTCCGAAAATCAGCCAAGTTGTCGTTCGGACGTTCGATGGGATATTATCGTCCGACAGCATCTGCGTCCGAACGTCGTCAGAGAGTCATCAAAATTTTGCAGAATTTCTCAGACGTCCGATGCGATCGATGTGCTTCCGAAGCGTGCGTCCGATCCTCCCGGACGCACGATGCTTCCTTACGAGCGTCCGACAGAGTTTCCTTCTTGATGTTCTTCATTCTTTCGGACGTCCGACATGAATGCCCTATTTTTACTTCTTCTTTTGGTTGATTTTCTTTTCTTGACACCTTTGTACCTGATTCTCTTAAAAGCAAAACACTTGTATTTGAAGAGAATTAGATAAACATTTCAAAGTGCTTTGTGATCATCAAAATCAAGAATAACAGTTCCAGACACATAATCAACTTAAACAAGGACATTAATCATGTAATAACAAGTAATTCAGGAAACATTTACAATATAAAGCAATGATAACACATTCATTAAAATGATAAATGCTCACATGGAGCCTTTCGTTCTTTCATTTACCTTTCATTTCCTTATTTCTCCAATCATTTTAAAATGCATTTTGTAAGTGAAAACCCCACCATTGACATTGTCACTCGTTCATTCATTTCATTCTTCCCCCTTCTGGACATTGGCCAGACTCCACTCGACAACGTGGTAATACTCGAGTATACCAAATATTCACCCAGGGTCACCAAATCGCCCGATCGAGTCCATTTCTGGGTCGAGTCGACCAGCAACGAAGGGTATGAGAACCCGTAATTTTCTTAATTGCTAGGTTTTATTTTCTTTTAATTGCACGCTTTTTCACATTTTATTTATTCAAAAAATTGTGAAAATAATTTTTATGAGTAAATATGATTTTGAAATCATTTTTTTCGAGTATAAGTTAGTTTTTAAGATTTTAAGAGTGTATATCGGATGTGGGACCCACTAGTGCGGTAAGTTCGATAAAATTCGACCAATTAGGTTAAGTTTTGTATACAGGAATTAATTTACTATGTGTTAGTAAGATAAGAAAAAGAATTGGAGGATAGGAACATGATTTGGCAAAGATTAGTGAGAGAATGGCCAAGATGGTGCCAAGTGGCAAGACACCAACCATGTAACTTATTTGACCAAAAAATTTGATGAATTAAAACCTTTTTTTTTCCTCCATTTCCTTCATAAGTTGGCCGGCCATCTTGGAGCAGCAAAGAAGAAGAAGAAACTCCATTTTCTTGCTTTTTACTCTTAGTTTAATCTTAGGAAAAAAAAACCAAAAGTGAAGGAGTGAGTTAGTGAGTGGAATCCATCCAACTCTAGTGTGTGATCTTCAAGCCTTGAAGCTTTTGGTTGGTGGTTGTTTTGGGTGACTTAATCAACTTGTAAAAGAGGTATGTGATCTTTAATTCTTGCTTTTATGGTGTTATATTTAGTATTTAAAGGTTTGAGGGTAAACTTGTAAGGATCGAATACAACCTAAGAGGGGGGGTGAATTAGGTTTTCAAAAATCAGCTAAGATATAAGCCACATTTTTTCACAATCTACCTTTCTTTTCTTAAGGACCACCCAATGGACCAGGTAACAAGAGATCACAGATATTCGTAAGATGAAGAGAAGAACAGTTTATGTATAAAAGCAGTAAATGAAAGTAAAGAGCCAAACCAGGGTTCAAACACAACTGAGGTTTGAACAAAACTCTTATATATCAAGTTACTTCAAACTGAACAAACTTGCAACCAATATCTTGTGTATAAGGGAAGGATCACTTCTTTCTTGCCCCAAACCACACTTGGTCAAGCAAGGAAGTTTTACAAACACTCGAATAACCCTCACTGATCTACACTATTGAAGAAGCTGTGTCACACTTGAGAACCTACACAAAGATTGCACAAGCAAAGAGTACAAATGTTCCTTTTTGAGTATTCTAACACTTGAAACACTCACGATCTGATGTAGGCTTGATGTGCAAAGTTGCTCTGAGGTGGTTGACTTTGTTCTTTTTATAGGTGACCAGAAAGTTCTTCAATTAATGCTGTCAATGGGTAGAAGGCAACTGAAGAGTCAACTAGCCGTTGGTGCTGTCGGACGTCCGATGTTTAGTTTTTATGCGTCCGAACGAGATCAATAAGTTCTGGAAGTTTTCTTGAATCCCGTCGGACGGCCGATGCGTCCAGAGTGTTGCGTCCGAAGAGCAGCAACACTTGCCGGACGTCCGATACACTGGTGTTGAGCGTTCGATCATGATCAGTAATCATAGAACCCCTGGCTTGTCTTCTTCGGACGTCCGAGTCTGAGTTCTTCACTCGTCCGAAGATACTCAAAGAATGTCGGACGTCCGATACTCTCCTTTTGTGCGTCCGACATCATCCTCAGCAATCTTCATTCTTTTTTATCTTCTTTTACTGCTTTAAATCCAAAGACCTGTTTGGTTCATTTCTGAAAGGGATCTCTACAAAAGGTATTAGAAACATCCATTTGTTTTGTAATCATCAAAAGATATGAGTTGAGATAAACAATCTCCCCCTTTTTGATGATGACAAAACAATTGGATAGAGCAAAAAAGTGTAACATCTCCACCTAACGAAGTGCATGAGTAGTCTACAGGAAGAAACGCAATCCACATCATCAGTGCTGATCCAACTCAACTCCCCCTGAGACTGACTTCCCCTAACTAGTTACTCTACACTATCAGTGTTAAACCAAATCCAATTCCAATTCTCCCCCTTTTTGTCATCACAAGATTTAGTATTAGTTTTGGTACCAGCAATGCATCTCATCAGAAACAATATCAGTATACACATTTACAATGTATAGTACAGTTTGGAATCATTCATTTAGCAGATATCAGTCAGAAACATTCATTCAATCAACAGATTGCACAAACACATAACCAATCATAACACCCATTCAAAACATTCATAACAAAACACTTAGTTATAACATTCATAAACAGTAAAAAGAAATATCCAGTTGTACAGACCAGGTGTTCAGCACTTAATACAAAAGTGCAATGCAAAAGATGAACTATAGTCCTAGATAAAGGTGCAGTGACCTAGTGGTGCCTAGATGGTGATTTTAGATGATCCAGGCCTTCTCCTGGCCAGACGATACTGTGCAGGATCCTCTTCTTCCTCAGTTTCTTCATCACTATCTTCATCTGATTCCTCAATTGCTGGAGCCTTGCCTTTATCCTTGGGCTGAGAACTGGAAGCTGGTGTAGTCTCAGTACCAGTAGTTGGTCCTGTGGGCTCAGTTCTTGGCTTATTTACATTGCTCTCAGGTATTGGAGGGAAAAGAAGGTTTCTTTTTTCAATGAAGGAGGATTTTTGGTCAGAGGTCATGGTCATCATGAGACCTTCTTCAATAAGCAAGACATGCTGTTTAAGGTCTTCAAGCAAGGAAATGACTTCAGAATTGGATACAAAGGACCTGCTAGCAGACTTCCTAGGATGAATGGTGAAAGGAGAGACCAAGTCTGACTGATCACGAGGAGTGTAGACACCAAATTTTTAATAATTTGTATTCTCCGTTTTTAGTGATAATTCTTATCCATTTATTTTTGTTAATTTCATGATTTTCGTTTTAGACTGTTTGCATTTGTATAGCATTTTAGACCATTATTGTTAGTTTTATTCGTTTTTGCTCTTTTAGTGGTCTATTACATTTACCTTTTGTTTTTTTAGTTTTATTGGTCGTGTGAGTTTTATTCATTTCTTTTTAGTTTTTAGTTTATTGTTGTTATTTTTTAAGTTTTAGCATAGAATTTCTCAAAGGAAAAAGAAAAGCCGTTCAAAAAATATGTTTTAGTTGTTTTAGATTTTAGTTTCACTATTTAAAAATGAAAATAAAAGAAAAATGAAAAAAATTGAAAAATTGCAACTTTGCTGTTTATTATTTCTAGTTTATTTATTTTTATCTGATGTTAATTAAATTATTGGTTTTTACTTAATTTTGTTATCATTTTTGCTAAATTACTTAAAAAAAGGAAAAAAGGGAAAAAAGAGAAAAGAAAAAGAAAAGAAAATTAGCATTTCATTTTTATCCTTTTATGCTTATTTCCGCTCATTGTATTTAATTTTTTCTTCATTAGTTCTTTATTATTAATTAGTCATCTTATTTTATTAAGTTGTTTAAAAAAAAAAAACGCGGCATGCAAGCTGCGTTTTGTCGCAGCTTGCAAAAGAAGGGCTTCGGGCAGATCCTTTGGCTGCAAATATGGAAGAAAGTACTGGAGTTTTAGGGTTGGAGGTTCCCATATAAAAGGAAAGAGAAGGCATCAGCCGCAGGGGAGAGTTTTGGGGGAGAGAACAGCAAAAGAAAGACACAAAAAAAAAAGTAGACGACGGCTGGAGAGTTTGGAGGAAAACAAAAAGGGATAGACGGCAACAAAGGGAAAAAATCAGAAAAAGAAAACCAGAAAGAGTGGAGGGAAGTTTTTGGATTGACGGCTAGAACTAGAGAGAGAGGTTACGGGGGAGCGGCTAAAGAAAGAAAAAATCCGAGAAGGGATGGGCGGCTACATCAGAAAGGAGTGAAAAAGAGAGAGACCAGAGAAGGGAGAACGACGGCAGAGGAGAATCTGGGAGAGACGAAGGAGCTAGGCTAGTGAGGGCTGGACAGAAATCAGAAGGAAGAGTCACGGCTGGGCAAAAGCTTGGAGCTTTCTGGTCAAACCAAAAAGCAGGAAAGGAGCAAACTTCAGCGAGCATCTTCACGGTTCATCAGACTCAGAGTGAAGGTAGCTATTGCTTTCTTGAATCATGTTTCGTTGGCATCGGCATGATTTTTTCATTATTATCTAGAGAAAGCCCAATGAGAGTGCAGCAAATTCCTGAATAATAGCCCAGTTGCATGATTTTTCTTTTGAAAAACCATCGCTTTCCTCCTCCTGCACTTTAAAATTGTTTATGCTGACTTCAACGTCTCCTTTGCTTCCAAAAATGGTGATAAATGTCTAAACTTTGAGTCTCTGTTCACTTTTTATGGCGATGCTAAGCTTGTTAGAGGCCATGATAAGTCGATAAAGATGTCTGGTTCAGTTGCTCCAACTGGAGCTTGCGATTATGTCTACTTGGTTCGAGTTCTGTACGTGTATAACCTGTTTCTTTTCTTTTACGCTGAGTTCAATGTATGGTAGAGGATTGGGTTGATTTTCCTGTTAAAATAGCATGTTACGGTTTCACCCCTTCCCTTTGTTCTGATGTGCGGTTCCATTTCTGTTTTGCTGGTTCACAGTTGATGATCTGCGTCTCCATTTCTGCATTGGTTACTTGCATATCTTTGTCCTAAAATTTCTGTTTACAAAGCTAGGTGATTTAGTTGATGTTCTTGGCAATTATATTAGAAGGTTGGGATGGTATTTCTTGTTGAAATCACAAGCCGCGAATAGGAGAAAGTTGCAGCAGCCTTTGTTTTTTAAATGTTTGCATGTTGTTCCAGATTGGCATGATATCTTTCTTCCAAGTCTGTTTTTTTGGCATGTTTGGCTTGTGATAAGTATGTATGTGTTGTTTAGAGTAAAGCTGTGATTGAAAAGGTTTTTTCTTGTTTTCCGCTCAAAATGGTCTTTTGGAGCTGAAATCCGCAAGTGAAATGAAATGAAAATGCAGCAGGCTTGCACTTTCGGTTGGCTGAAGTTTTTGCATTGTTGAAATGTGTGATTTGTTTGCCATGTGATTGGAATACCGTGTGCATGTATGCCATGAGGTAGAGTCATGTTTTGAAGTAGAGTTCAGTTGCATGTTTGGGGGGCTGAAATATTTGGATTAGGATTAAATGCTTGCTGAAAATGAATTCTAGGTTGCTAAACTGTCTTTGCATGAATGTTTTTTTTCAGAATTTTGCATCAGTTTCCTGCTATATTTTGGGTTGTTTGAATCTTGAAATTGTATGTCATGAGGCTTAGATTAGTTTTGGATGTTTGGTTGAAAGGTCTTAATCAAATTTGGTGCTTTTGGAATATGAAATCCAAGTTTGGAAGTAAAATGCAGCGCACATTCATGTTGTTTGTAGAAGGTTTCAACTGCAGAAATTGTCTTCCTACGTGGATTGCATGCTCTTGCATGAAAAATTTCCAAGAAAAATTGCACTTTAACCTCCCAAGTCCCCTTTTGTTTCACTATGGCCCAAACAATTGAAGAAACCAATCAAATTGACCCCTCAAATTTCTTTAGTTTTTGCAATCAAGTCATTACTTGTTTTAAATTTTACATGGGCTGTTCACCTTCCTTTAAATGCCTTGGATTGATTCAATTTCATGCTCATCCCCATTTCATGTGATTATTTCTTGACTAAAGTGTTGCCTTGACTCTTTTATTATTTTGGAGGGTAAAATAAGTGATTTCACTCCACTAGGGCACCGTTGCAAGGGAGGTAACCTCTATTTCTTTGAGTTTATTTCTCCTACGTGCTCCTACGTGTTATGTGTGAATATGCATGCTTTAATTTGCTTTTCATTTTGGTTTAATTGCTTATTTTGCTTTCTTTTATTTCGCCTTTTAATTGGCAAGTCATTTGAAAGGCACTTGAATGCCAAATTTGTAATAGTTAAGTATTTATTTTAATTATCTATTTATTTCCCCTTTTAGATTGTAGTAGGGCCTCCCCAAATGTAATAGCTAGGGGTTTCTTTGCTTTATTTGCCTTGTGTGTTTTTGCATGCCTATGTGTTTATTGCTTTATTAGGCTCTTGCATCTACTCGAGCATGCTAAGTGTTATGTGCTATGCGTTTATGAGTGTTTGGCATGTCTACTCGCTTTCCATAGCCATGAATGAATGTGATGGATGAATGTACGTTTCCGCTAGTCCAACGCTAGTCGGAATTCATAGAATGGGTTAGTCCAACGCTAGACCCTTAGGGATTTCCCCTCGTTAGTACATGTTTGCATGTTCATTACATGTCATGCATTCTTTTTAGTTTTATCATTTTGCATGCCCCTCGAACCCCTTTTCCCTCCATTTTAGGATTTTTTGCATTTCATACTAGTTATAGGGTTCATTTGCTTGAGAGTCCCCTTAAATATGGGATATAGACGAGTGTGGCTTTTTCTAAGCCTTAGCACGCTTGTATTCCCTCTATAAAAGGGCAAATTGAGTCACGATTTAGGTCTCCCCGTACCCAATATGCATGAATTCCCTAGGCTCATGCATTTTTAAATCCACTCTACCATTTTATACCCTCATCACACTTTCATTTTTCCTCCCATTTTGCACACGTGCACCTTTATGTTTCTTCACCTGCACACGAACACTTTTATCATCACTTGCACACATGCACTTCATATTATCATTTCATATACCGTATCTTGTCCACTCACGTGCACACTTTCATTTACATATTTATTGTTTTTTATTACTTTTCAAACTCATGTCCTCACATTGCATACATGCATTCCATTCATTTGCATCCCACTCGCATTATTCGTGACTTCTTCAAAGGATCGTTATTGGGCTTCACAATTAATGTGATTGGCGCCACTCAACCTTTGAAGGGAAATTTCCCCAATACCCCTAGGTCTAGGGTTTGCATTCATGTAGTGCATCCAAATGTAATAAATCCTTTGGTTAAAACAAGAAAATCTTTGATTAAATCATGCAACTAGCCTCGGCTAGGTCAAAGGGGTGCCTTGGATTTTATCCTTGCCTTCCCCTTTGTCAAATGTGACTCCCGAACCTTTTTTCTTTGGTTTACGTGGACTAGGAGTCGTTTAAAAGGGGTTTCTAACTACTTTTTCTTATTTTTTCTTTAAAAATTCATTTTTTGGTGACTTGGTACACCTTAACTCATTACCAAGTGGCGACTCCAATTTTTATTTCAAAAACCCTTTTTAAACTATAATTTTGGGTCAAATCGTCGCATTCTCAAACCCCCATTTAAACCCATTTTTCTTTTAAATCACAATTCATTTTCCAATCACAAATTGAATCAAAAAAAACATTTTTAAACTTATTTATTTATTTATCAAAAAATGGGGCGCGACAAGGAGTCCTAGGAATGACAGGGGTTTCATGAAAATTTTTCCTTCTAGACTCAGCAACAGTCTCCTTATAGCACCAATGGCCTTCAAAAAATTTTAAATTCTTTCGTTCAAAGTAAGCTTTTGAGAAGACTGATGAAGCACTGTCTTTGGGAGATTTTTCAGAAAAAGGAATTTCAAAATGGGCAAAGATAGGGGTCAAAAATCTGCCATAAGAGAGCTTCCTACTGCTGTCAGTGCTAATTTTGAGCAAAAACTTGCACATTACAAATCCAAAGTCAATGCGAATTTTTTCAACAAAGCAGTAGAACAGATAGAGTTCCATTTTGTTTGCATCTGTTCTGTGGCCATCAGTTGGCACCAACAGATTTGAAATGATGGTGAAGATGATCAGGTTCTGAGGACTAAGATCATCCAGTCTTGCCTCAGCAGGAGTATTAAAAGTGGTTTGAAAGTAGGTCATGAGTTTAGCATTGTAAAAATGATGGTAGGTAGAAGGAAATTCCTCATATGAGAAGAAATTTGCAATTTTTCCTTTGAAACTAGGTTCAATACTGGTTTTCAGAATGGAATTCACAATGTCAAGAGTTAACATGATGTCTACAGAATTGACCCTAGAGATGAGTTCAGTGTGTGATTTACCCTTTCAAAGATTAGCAAAGAATTGGTACAGCATGTCAGGGTCAAAGACATTAGGAATGGTCAGAATATGAGTCCATTTCTGGAATTCAAATAATTTGATAACAGGTTCAAGATCAAGCTTACGAAATTCATAGGGAAGAATGAGTCTTTGGGTGATGAACCCTTTTTGAGAGACTAACTCAAATCTGTCTCTAGCTTCATCATCAATGACTTTTGGAAGAGGAGTGGGTTCTTCTACTGGCTGAGACACAGGATCCTTTCCAGAACGTTTCCTGTTTGAGGTTTGTGTGGCAGATGCCTCTACATTTTGAGCCTCAGTTCTTGTCGTTGGAGACTTCCTGGTAGAGGGTTCAGGAGTTTTCTGACTCCCAGTGGTGTTTCCTTCATTCTGCTGATCATCAGAGGGATCAGAAAACTGGTTTTTCTTGGATTGAGGAGTGCTCTTCCTCTTTGCAGACCTCTTTCTTTTAGCAGAGGACCTTGTGACAGCTTTATCACCTTGGACAACCTGTTCTGGTTCCTCATTTCCACCAGCAATGTTTTCTTCAGAGCTCTGTCCTTCCAACTGCTCATCAGATGATTCAGCAGTTGGAATATCCAGTTTTCTTTGGGCAGTTTGCTTTACCTTACCACCACGAGTTACAATCTTCTTTTTGGGTGCCACAGGAGGTGGTTCCAAAATTTCAATGTCTTCATCCCTAAGTCTAAAGGATCGTCCGGCACTAGTAGATCCTCCTCTGATTCTAACCACGATGCAATGTGGATATGATTTTGGATAAGGAATGTGGTGTACAAAGAAAAAGTGCAGTAAGAGCCAACTAATGTGCACTGAGAAGCCGTAAGGAGGGAGTTATGGGAAGTTAGGGTTTCGTATGTAAATTGGGATTTCTGTGGTAGTTGGTTGGGAGTGATTTTTATGAGTGGTTAATGCACAATAAAAGTGTAATTGAGTTGGTTGGTTCAATTTCTCGGAACCTGGTTTAAGGAGAGAGGAATTTGAATTTCAAATATTAGAGGAAACTGAAAGGTTGCGTCCGAGACTTTAAAAAAAATGAGCTGAGAAGAATGGGTAACTGCCTTATAAGACTCAATTTTTTGAGTGTCGGACGTCCGAACGAAGTGAAGCGTCCGACACAACCGTCCGAACCAGGGTTTTTTCTGAATTTGGACGAAGAACACTGTCGGACGTCCGTTCCAATTTATCGGACGTCCGATAAAGATTGACTAGAAATAAGACTTAGAATATCTTTTCTGACACGCCCAATTTTGTTCTCAAGGACACAAATTGATCTAGTGGAAGAGCTTTTATGAGGATATCAGTTATCTGTTCTTTAGAACAAACAAACTCAACACGGATTACCCCCTTGGAGACAAGATCACGAATGAAATGATGCTTTATATCAATGTGCTTAGTCCTAGAGTGTTGAATGGGATTTTTTGTTAGATTGATTGCACTAGTGTTGTCACAGTACATGGGTACACATTCATATATTAAACCAAAATCATTCAATGTGTTTTTCATCCATAACAATTGAGCACAGCAAGCACCAGCAGCAACATATTCAGCTTCAGTAGTGGACAATGAGATAGCATTTTGTTTTTTACTAAACCAAGAGACCAAGCAATTTCCAAGAAAGTTGCATATGCCAGTAGTACTTTTTCTATCTATTTTACAACCACCAAAGTCAGCATCAGAGAATCCACACAAAGGAAGTTCATGACATTTTGGATATCACAAACCAAAATTTAAGGTTCCTTTAAGATATCTTAAGATTCTTTTTACCGCATTCAAGTGTGATTCCTTTGGACAGGATTGAAATCGAGCACATAAGCACACAACAAATATGATGTCAGGCCTACTAGCAGTTAAATAAAGTAAACTCCCAATCATACCTCTGTACTTCTTTTCCTCAACTTTTGTACCTTCTTCATCTTTGTCAAGTTTGGTAGATGTGCACATAGGTGTTCCAACAGGCATTGAATCCTCCATTCTGAATCTTTTCAGCAACTCCTTGGTGTATTTTGTTTGATTTATAAATGTTCCATCTTGGGTTTGAATCACTTGGAGTCCAAGGAAGAAGTTCAGTTCTCCCATCATGCTCATTTCAAATTCTTTTTGCATGATGATGGAAAAGTCCTTGCACAATTTTTCATTAGTAGCACCAAATATGATATCATCCACATATATTTGCACAATCAAAAGATCTCGTGAGTTTTGTTTTGTAAAAAGTGTAGTGTCTACAATACCTCTTTTAAAACCATTTTCAATCAAAAATCCACTCAGACGTTCATACCATGCTCTAGGAGTTTGCTTTAATCCATATAAAGCTTTTGAGAGTTTAAATACGTGATCTGGATAAGATTCATTTTTAAAACCAGGAGGTTGGTCAACATAGACTTCTTGATCTATGAATCCATTTAAGAAAGCACTCTTAACATCCATTTGAAATAATTTAAAATTCTTGAAACATGCAAATGCTAAAAACATTCTTATGGATTCCAACCTAGCCACAGGTGCAAAAGGCTCATCAAAGTCTATTCTCTCTTTTTGAGTGTATCCCTTAGGCACCAGTCTAGCCTTATTTCTAACAATCTCCCCTTTATCATTCATTTTATTTCTAAAAACCCATTTTGTGCCAATGATAGGATGGCCTTGTGGTCTGGCAACCAGGGTCCAAACTTTGTTTCTTTCAAATTGGATTAACTCTTCTTCCATAGCTAAAATTCAGTGCTCATCATTCAATGCATCACCAACATTTTTAGGTTCAATATGTGATTCAAAAGCAAGATTATCTACTAGGTGTCTAAAGGAGCGAGTCCTGACCTTTTCAGAAGGATCACCAATTATAAGCTCCCTGGGATGATTATGAGCAAATTTTCAGGCTCTTGGAAGATCATTAGGAGTAGTGGTATCTCTATTATTCACTTCTTCAGCTGGACTGACATGAGCATCAGTATCCTTTGAATCAGTTTCTGGTGAGGCAGAATCATGATCATTGATTGTTAGCTTCTTCAGTCCTTCTTGAACACCTGTGTCATCATCTTCACCACAACTCACAGAGATGTCACCATTAGATTCATCAAAAGTAATGTGTATAGCCTCCTCTATAATCAATGTTCTACGATTATAAACTCTGAAACCTCTTTTGTTTTCACAATAACCCAAGAAAATTCCCTCATCAGATTTCTTGTCAAACTTTCCAAGATATTTCTTGATATTCAAAATGAAATATTTACAACCAAATACTTTAAAGTAACTAACAACAGGCTTTTTGTCATACATGAGCTCATAGGAGGTTTTGTTCAAAATTGGTCTTAGAAGAACTCTATTCATGGTATAACAAGCTGTGTTTATGGCTTCAGCCCAAAAATATTTTGATAAATTTCATTCACTAAGCATGGTTCTAGCAGCCTCTTGGAGAGTTCTATTTTTTCTTTCTACAACTCCATTTTGTTGAGGGACTCTAGCAATAGAGAATTCATGAGTAATACCATTATGATCACAAAATTCTGAAAAATCACAGAACTTGAATTCTGTCCCATTATCACTTCTAATCCTGATAATTTTCAAGCCAAGCAGATTTTGTACTTTAGCAAATAATGAGGTAAAATTCTTAAAGGCATCATCTTTATGAGCAAGGAATATCATCCAAGTATATCTAGAATAGTCATCAACAATCACAAAACAATATCTCTTACCACCAAGGCTTGCAGTTTGTGTAGGACCAAACAGATCAAGGTGCAAAAGTTCAAGTGGTTTTGAAGTAGAAACACATTTCTTGAGTTTAAAAGAAACTTTGACTTGTTTTCCAAATTGGCAAGCATCACAAATTCTGTCTTTTTCAAATCTAATTTTTGGAAGACCTAACAAGTTCCTTTTTAGAAATTTCTTCAGCAAATCCATATTGAAATGACACAGCCTTCTATGCCACAACCATGGGTCCTCATTTGCTACTTTGAGACATTTGAGATATGAGAAATCAATTTTTTCAAGAAAAACTACATACACATCATTAACTTTTTTTCCTTTGAAAACAATGTTGAACTTTGGTTTTCGTTCAACCTTGTTTTCCTTCTTTTTCTTCATTGGACACTCATTTGCATAATGTCCAGGTTGGCCACATTCAAAATATTTATCATTTTGCTTCTTGTTGAACTCTAGTTTCCCTCTATTTCTGAAGTCATTGGTCTGATTCTGGAAGGAATTGCTGGGTCCGCCTTTCCTGAATCTTCTCTTATTGAGAAATCTTTTGAAGCCTCTTGTGACGAGTGCAATATCACTGTCATCACCTTCCAAGTCATTTTCATCCAGTGAGCTATTTCATCTTCATCTTGTGAAGCTTTCATAGCAATACTCTTCCTTCCTTTTGTGTCTTCTTCTTCCTGCATCTTAGATTTAAGTTTCAGTTCGTAAGAAGTTAGAGAATTAATCAGAGATTCAATGGATAAGGAGTTTAGATCCTTGGCTTCCTCTATGGCAGTCACTTTGCTTTCCCAATCCTTTGATAGAGCATTCAGAATTTTTCTGTTCTTTTCACCTAGAGAGTACTCCTTCTCAAGCACCTCCAAATCCTTGATCAGATCATTAAATCTACAATACATTTTGTCAATGTTTTCATGAGACTCCATCTTAAAAGATTCATACTTGGTGATCAGAATGGACTTTTTCTGTTATCTTACGTTGTCACTTCCCTCATGAATTTCTCTTAGCTTATCCCACATTTCTTTGGTAGATTTACACCCTTTTACTCTAATTGACTCATTTGAGTCTAAGGCACTATAAAGAACATTCATGGCTTTGGCATTCAATGTGAGATTGGTTCTATCTTGAGCATTTATTTCAACTCTCGTTTTTGGCCGCAACATACCTGTTTCTGCATCAAGAAAGTTAGCATCATGCGGTCCTTCATTCACAATAAACCATAGCTTAATATCAATGGATTGCAAGAAGATAATCATTCTTTCTTTTCAGCTAACATAATTGGAACCAGTAAACATGAGAGGCCTAGTGACTGATTGTCCTTCAACAAACATGGCATGATTGGTTGTCATTTTAACTCCAAGCCGCTTGAGCTTAATCTCTAGGAGACCAAGCTCTGATACCAATTGTAAGGATCGAAGACAACCTAAGAGGGGGGTGAATTAGGTTTTCAAAAATCAGCTAAGATATAAGCCACCTTTTTCACAATCTACCTTTCTTTTCTTAAGGACCACCCAATGGACCAGGTAACAAGAGATCACAGATATTTGTAAGATGAAGAGAAGAACAGTTTATGTATAAAAGCAGTAAATGAAAGTAAAGAGCCAAACCAGGGTTCAAACACAACTGAGGTTTGAACAAAACTCTTATATATCAAGTTACTTCAAGCTGAACAAACTTGCAACAAATATCTTGTGTATAAGAGAAGGATCACTTCCTTCTTGCCCCAAACCACACTTGATCAAGCAAGAAAGTTTTATAAACACTCGAATAACCCTCACTGATCTACACTATTGAAGAAGCTGTGTCACACTTGAGAACCTACACGAAGATTGCATAAGCAAAGAGTACAAATGTTCCTTTTTGAGTATTCTAACACTTGAATCACTCACGATCTGATGTAGGCTTGATGTGCAAAGTTGCTCTGAGGTGGTTGACTTTGTTCTTTTTATAGGTGACCAGAAAGTTCTTCAATTAATGCTGTCAACGGGTTGAAGGCAACTGAAGAGTCAACTAGCCGTTGGTGCTGTCGGACGTCCGATGTTTAGTTTTTATGCGTCCGAACGAGATCAATAAGTTTTGGAAGTTTTCTTGAATCCCGTCGGACGGCCGATGCGTCCAGAGTGTTGCGTCCGAAGAGCAGCAACACTTGTCGGACGTCCGATACACTGGTGTTGAGCGTCCGATCATGATCAGTAATCATAGAACCCCTGACTTGTCTTCTTCGGACGTCCGAGTCTGAGTTCTTCACTCGTCCGAAGATACTCAAAGAATGTCGGACGTCCGATACTCTCCTTTTGTGCGTCCGACATCATCCTCAGCAATCTTCATTCTTTTTTATCTTCTTTTACTGCTTTAAATCCACAGACCTGTTTGGTTCATTTCTGAAAAGGATCTCTACAAAAGGTATTAGAAACATCCATTTGTTTTGTAATCATCAAAAGATATGAGTTGAGATAAACAAAACTAAAAGTTGTATGGATGCTTCCTATGGCTAAATCTCTTGAATTAGTGAAGTGGTAGTTGGGTTGGTTAAGTGGCCTACCATGTGTTTGATTAATTGTTAAAGCTTTGATTCATGGTTTTAGTTAGAGTTAATACATGGTATGTTGGTTAAGAGGAAAACAATGAAAGGATGAAGCAAGAAAAGTAGTGGTACGCACTAATAGCCCAAATTTCAGATTTCTAGAAATTCAAACTTCAGTTCTGCCCGGTTCCAGTTCATGATGTTAGAGGCTGAATTAGACTTAGAACAAAACATAAAAGCTGTAGAGAATGATGTTTTATAGTTTCCTGCAAAATTTTAGCCCAATCAGTGCAACGTAGCCTATGAAATGACCAAAATACCCTTGCTGCCCTGTTTCTGTCCAAAACTGATAATCAGCTTCTGTAATTGGTTAGTTTGACCAGAAATACTATCGATTTGGTTGTCGATGTCTCCTTAATAATTATAGCCTTGTATCTTAGCTTTCAAATGGCTTTGGAATTACCTGAATCAGAGTTGTGTGTTCTGAGATATACTTGAATGAATCAGGACTGCTAGTGGAATTTCACAGTGAGTTTCGAACTGAAAAATTTGGGGTTGTTTTGGTACCTTTGACCTAGTTAGGATGAGAACTAGACTAAGTGGTATTCATCAAAGTTATAGCCCTCTCTCTTAGTTTCGAAACGGTATAACTTGCACTTCAATCAAATAAGCGTAGTTTCGGTTAGGGCCAATACGCTAAGTAGCGGTGAATCTGCCTTTTTGGTTTCCTAGCTTAAAGCTCATTTCCGGTCATTTTTCTAACTAAATCTTGTACTTGAATGACTTTGAGCCTATTGAATGGCTGTTATGATGAATTTATATTATGTATGACTTTGGAATTGATTGAGGGAAATAATGAAACCATAAGTGGTTGGGAAAATAGGTAAATACAGAGGGCATGCTGCCCAAAATTTTAGGGCTACGCGATTCCTTCAATTGAGTTGATCTTAGTACAAATGAAGGGTTTTGGGGTTGTTTGTAACTGTAAGACCAACTGTTATCTTTTGCTCAAAAGTCATATTTTATTCTTTTGCATTAATACTTTAGCTGGAAAGACGTACGACATGTAGTCGAGTCTCGCTTGTACATTCCGTTTACTCAATTTTGAATGTGAAACCTTCAATTGTTTTACTTTGATGATTTTAGGGTTTCTTGGCGATTAAAACCAGTTTGAAGTAAAAACTTTTGAAGTATCTGTACTTGAACCGGTGAGTGTACCACTCCCCTCATTTGTTGTTTAACTTGGTTTCTGCCTCTGCAATCTGCGATTTAAATGATTGCACTATCTGTTTATTCTGTTTGAGACGAGGGTGTACTTTATCATACTCGTTCTCTTGTTTGTCCATATGCCTATTTACTGTGTATAATCTATTAACTATAGCTGAATCTGTTCGGACGTCGTTTGGAGGCTGGTATCCAACCACCTTTCTGTGACCTCTGAACTCAACACCTGTGGCTAGTTATTCAAGTCGGGTCGGCAAGGACCTGGTCGATTAGATAACGAACCATGGTAGTCTGTTTTGGAAATCTTTGGGTATTGAGACTCTTGATTCCGGTATACTCGAGTATTACCATTACTGTTCCTGAATGGAGTTCGGGCCCGGTAGGGGTATGTTTGGTGGACGGAAATTGGTGTAAATTGGGGTCTACGGATATGTTGGGTCTATTTACGTTGACGGAGAGTCAACGGGTTCGGATCAAGTACTGCAAATGAAAATTTGGCTCCTAAGAGCCACTTGTATCCTTTCCCTTTGAATCACTGTGTCTAAATGCTTTCCTTTATATCTGGTATATGTATCTGAT